TCGTCCATGCAGAGACTGATCAGCAAGAAATCATATCAGAGGGAGTTGGGGCTAGTCATATCATCAGAGATATCCACTCATGTCCTCAAGACTAATCACACTCACTGGGCGCACGTCCCCGACCATCGTATCAGCGGGACATGCGATCTAGAATCATCAGAGCACACACTCATATAGCCTACTCGAGCCCGGGCGCACTCATGGAGCAATACCAAGCGTGGGCGCGCATGGGCGCGCACTCAAATGACTATATCTAACTCGGGCGCACATGGGCGCGCACTCTCGCTGCAATACCGGGCCTGGGCACGCATAGGAACACACTCAAATAGCAATAAAGATCATGGGCGCACGTGAGCGCATACTCAAATGACAATATCTGGCTTGGGCGCGCTTGGGCGCGCACTCATATAGCAATACCGAGCTCGGGCGCACACGGGCGCACACTCGTATAGCAATACCGGGCTCGGGCGCACACGGGCGCACGCTCATATGGCGATACCGAGCTCGGGCGCGCACGGGCGAACACTCATATAGCAATACCGAGCTCGGGCACGCACTCTACCAGCAATGCCAAGCTTGGGCGCGCATGGGCACGCACTCTAACAGCAATGCCAAGCTCGGGCGCGCATGGGCGCGCACTCTAACAGCAATGCCAAGCTTGGGCGCGCCTGGGCGCGCACTCTAATAGCAATGCCAAGCTTGGGCGCGCACTCTAACAGCAATGCCAAGCTTGGGCACGCATGGGCGCGCACTCTAGTAGCAATGCCAAGCTTGGGCGCGCATGGGCGCGCACTCTAACAGCATTGCCAAGCTTGGGCGCGCACGGGCGCGCACTCTAACAGCATTGCCAAGCTTGGGCGCACATGGGCGCGCACTCTAAGAGCAATGCCAAGCTTGGGCGTGCATGGGCACGCACTCCAATAGCCAAACAGAGACTGGGCGCGCACTCAAAAGCCAAACTGAGGCTGGGCGCGCACTCAAACAGCCAAACTGAGACTGGGCGCGCACTCGATCAGCCAAATTGAGACTGGGCGCGCACTCGATCAGCCAAATTCAGACTGGGCGCGCACTCAAACAGCCGATCTGAGACTGGGCGCGCATTGAAACTCATGTGCACGAGTCCGAAACAACAAGGTCAAATGCGGAGTGCGCGCGAGTACTTAGTTTCAGATGGGTGGTGCCTGCTGCAAAGTACACATTCAAAGTTGGCAATGTGATCTGCAAAGTGTGCATCCGCGCACAATCTCAAAATCGGTAATGTTCGCTGCAAAGAACTCACTGTGACTGCTCAG